AAATGAATTATAATAGCTTCACATGACGAAGAAACCCAAACTATTGCATACTTCTACCCAAAAATGACCATAAAAGAAAATAAATCATACTTTTGTTAAGATCCTCTCCCATTCTTAGAGGTCAGATAAAAGGTATGGGGAGGACTGTGGTAATGATAGAGAATTTGTGTGTGTGTGTGTGTGATTTTTTTTTAAATCAAGGTATAGTTAACACATGGTGTTAGTTACAGGTATACAACATAGTAGACAAGTCTATACATTATGCTGTGCTCATCACAAGTATAGATGCCATCTGTCACCATAAAATGCTATTACAGTATTAATGACTGTATTACCTGTGCTGTACCTTTCATCCCTGTGACTTACACATTCCATAACTGAAAGCCTCCATCTCCCACTCCCCTTCACCCATTTTCTTGTTTCCTCGCCACACCCCCTTTCCCTCTGGCAACCACCAATTCTCTGTGGTCATCTGTCTCTGCTTTGCTTTGTTTTTTATATTCCACATATAAGTGAAATTATATGGCATCTGTCTTTCTCTGACTTACTTCACTTAGCATAATGTGCTCTAGGTCCACCCATGTTGTCACAAATGGCAAGATCTCATTTTTTTATGACTAATATTCCACAGAACGTAAATACCGCATCTTCTTTATCCATTCGTCTATCAGTGGACACTGAGGTTGCTTCCATATCTTGGCTATTGTAAATAATGCTGCAGTAAACATAGGGGTGTCTGTGTCTTTTTAAATTAGTATTTTTTTCTTTGAGTAAATACCCAGTAATGGAATTACTGAATCATCTGGTATTTCTAATTTGAGGAACCTCCATACTATTTTCCACAGTGGCTGCACCAATTCACATTCCCACCAATAGCACATGAGGGTTCCCTTTTCTCCACATCCCCACCAACACTTACTTGTTTCTTGTGTTTTTGATACTAGCCATTCTGACAGGTGTGATAGGTGTGAGGTGATATCTGATTATGATTTGATTTGGATTTCCCTGATATTTAGTGATGTTAAGCATCTTTTCATGTATCTGTTAGCTACATGTGTCTTGTTTGGAAAGTGTCTATTTAGGTCCTCTACTCATTTTTAATTGGATTATTTCTATTTTTAGTGTCAAGTTGTAGAAGTTCTTTATATATTTTGTATATAATCCCCTTATTGGATGTTTCATTTGCAAATATCTTCTCCCATTCAACAGGTTGCCTTTTCCTTTCGTCGGTTCCTTCATTACGCAAATGCTTTTGATCTTGGCATAGTCCCAATAGTTTATTTTTGCTTTTGTTTCCCTTGCCTGAGAAAACCTGGCCAGAAGAATGTTGCTAACTAAGGCTGATGTCAAAGAGATTACTACGTAGGTTTTCTTCTAGGAGTTATGATTTCATGTCTCCCATTTAGGTCTTTAATCCATTTTGAGTTTTTGTGTATGGTGTAAGAAACTAGTTTTCCCAGCACCATTTATTAAGACTGTCTTTTCCCTATTGCATATTTCTGCTTCCTTTGTCATAAACTGATGTTTGGATTTATTTCTAGGCTCTCTCTTTTGTTTCATCGACATAGGTCTTTTTTTGTGCTTGTACCGTAGTGTTATGATTATTATAGATTCGTAGTATATCTGGGATACATCCCTTTAGCTCTGTTCTTCTTTCTCAAGATTGCTTTGGTTTGCCATCTGTTGTTTTAGGTAAGCTTCCTATAAGAGGTCTCATTTGTATGTGTATCCCCAGAGTCTATTACCATCCTTAGAAGTTTTACTTCCAACTGGAAGAAACAGTTAAACGACATCTATCTCCATTTCACAATGACAGGGTGTTAGCAGAATATTCACTTAAATCGATCTACTGGTTATTGGTGAATTGAATGCTTATCTGCTAAGCTCTGGATAACAAAAGAAGTAATGTCATCCCTATAGTTTGAGACTTTTTTGTGAATGTTCTAGAAGAATGAATAGTAGGAAATTTTATCTGATCTCTGCTAACATGGGTCTGTTGCTGCCCATTTCCATGCAACAGACAGCCTGAGAGATGGCATCAGAAGGGCAGAGACTGATGCCCATGAGCTCCACTGACTTATAAAATTTGCACTTGACTCCTTTACTCCAGGGTCCTCATTAACCATTCCCTGGCTGGTTATATACTTTGTGGCACCTTCTCCACCCTCACACTGTGCTAGACCAGTTTTCTCACTGATTTGTGTTTTATAATTCACTTATTCTTGGAGGATTTAACCATGAATCCTTTCACAACTGTCCCTCTAGATAGGTCTGTTGTTATCGCCTTTGCACACCTGGCCTCAGCCATTGGTACTCAGCACTCAGTGCTCCCCATTTCTAACAGCTGGGTCTTTCAGAGTCAGCAAAACCTTTTTTTTTTTTTTTAAGAGAAAGAAAGAGAAAGAAAACACTTGCCATTTGACCAGAAGCAGGAACTACTAGAAGAACAGAGGCCTACTAGCTTTTTTTTGCGATAGCTACTTTTTTGAAATCATTCTGAAGTTAATTTTCTTCATCTCTTTGAACCTTGCCTTCTCCTTGGTGGTTGAGCCATGACTGGACCCTACCCTTAGGTGTTATAGAATTGCCTGTAATCATTTACTTTATGCTACCCCACCTGATCACAACTTTCATACATTCCTGTTTTCTTAGCCCTCAGGTTGTATTCATGTGGAACCCAGCCACCTATAGCATTTCACTCTTTTCTTCAAAACAAAACAATCTGTTAATCCCAGTCTGTCTTCCCACATTGTCCTTTCATAGGTTAGTGTACTGGAGATCACTTCTCAATAAGATATTTTCATTTAGAGTAGAAGGCTTGGTCTTATCCTTACTCCCCTGGTCTGGACAATTTAAAGCATTCCCACTTACATCTCAATAGTCTCAACTAGTCTCAACCCCAAGGGCATGACCCAGCATGTGGTTGTGGCAAGTAATCTGTAACCAACAACAAAACGTCAGTGTTTGTAAATGATTCCCATTACTCTACAACTGTCATTTCTAGGCATTCCTGTACGATTTTTTAAGAGGGAGAGAAAGGGGTAGAATCCCTGGCGTCCTATAAAGCATTGGCATGATGTCCAGTGCAAGTCATTTATGCCATCACCCTAGCCAGGCCACAGTACTGACACTCTGAGTGATTACACACTGTAGTAATTAATCTGGGCGGATCCTTGGGACTGTGAATAAGAGGTTCACAGCCACTGGTCTGTCATTAAAAACTACCACATTTCTTTGGGTGGTAATACCTGTCTGATCTTCAGAGAACTAAGACTACAATTCACTATATAATACCAAATAGAAAACTATTAATTTACTAGACAGTATATTTTGCATTGGAAAATTATTCAGGCCAGTGCATGCTGTGTTATCTGAGCACTACATAGATGCCTTATTTTTATTTATTAGATTGTGATAAACCAGCTAGAAAAGGTTCATAAAATTGCTTAAATCTAAACAAAATCCTTTGGTGAAGAAAATATTTTCAGACTGGTCAATTCTGCCAGATCAGTCCTTGGTGATCAGTAATGACACATGTCACATCCAAAATACCTTCTAAGAAGAAAGCAACTTTGCCCTAAAACTTTTACTCTTCATTCCATGGTATCATTGCTAAACGACATCTCTCAATTTGTAGGCATCTTGAATAAACCATCTTTAAGATCATTTTCTTTTGACATCAACTGAACAGTAGAGCCCAAAGGAAAAAAAGAAAACCTTCAATCATATAAAATAAAAACCTCAAATACTTCAGTTTGGCTCCATGGAATAAAAAAAACAATTCAGGTTATAATTTTAGAGTTTGTTTCACATATATAATGTGGTGTTACTAAGCAATGAACACTTTCATAAAAAATTTATTTCACACTTTTATACAAATATCCACAGGTATTTTCTAATCATGAAATAATTTTACAGTGCTAGTTAGTATTAAAATGTATCAAATGCAAACAGACCAGTGACTTGACTTGAGATGACATTTTTAACAATAAACACCACTACATTCTTGTTTCATTGTTGTTGAACCACCCTTCCACCTCCTCCCTCCCTTTTATTCATTTTTTTTTATAACAAAGGTCTGTAACACTCAAAATACCAGCTTCTTAGCAACCTAGAAAGACAGTGCATTAGGTTACAAGTTACCTAAGGAAGAAATTGAGATTTCAAACACTGGTATGACCGATTTTAGAGAAATTTTTGTAAACAAAGTATCATTTGTAAAACTGTCTTTGTGAATGAAAATCCCAAAGTACAACAAGAGTATCTTAAGGGCATACGATTTCTGAAAAGAAAAAAAAAAAAAAAAGCTCCACAGCAAAAATGGCACATATAGCTGTACTTTGTTCTTTTGAAAGATTGAGACACTGCTTATACTATATGCAAACAAATTAGCACCTGCTTGCTATTATTCCCCATATAACATTTTGAAATTTTTTTAAATTCAGCTTTACTATCTATTCAATCTCTGTTGAATGTATAAAAATGCCACTTCATTCTTATAATTAAGCCATTTAAAATTGTGGTTAGTGCAGTCCCAAAGTAATTTGGGGGAATACAGATTAGGGGAGGAAACAAAGTTAAAGACAGAACATTGACTCACTGTTTCCAACATTTAAAAACTTAAAAGCCATGATGTTCTGACTTTCGGTATCAGATACTCAGTAGTCTCACGCTGGATCAGTCTGGATCTGCCAGAGGCACCCACCATTTCTTTCAAGTCCTGATTATACAATACTTGCAGTAAGGACTAAACTGCACTGAAGTTCAGCAGACGAACACATTATTTCCAAGGGTTCCTGAAAGTTACAGCACAAAATGCAGGACACATCACACAGGGCTCCAAACTCAGAAATATCCACTGTGTGGTAAGGATTAAACCTCTATGGTTAATTCCTATTTCTTAAACATTTTGGGTCTGGAGGAAGGCGTGTGAGGGCTGTCATGAAGGGAGATGCAGTAGGAACTTTATAAGGAATGTTGTTGTTGTTGTTGTTTTGCAGTAAATCCAAACCATGACAATCCAGGTTCTAATTCTGATGGTTTAATCCAACTGGAAGAGAATCTTTGGCCTGTCAATGATAAAATGGTTTATAAAGAAGAAAAAATAAATACCATATACAAGTAAGTATAACTAGCATTCAAGTCTGTTGCACCTGTGTGTTTTAGTGAAAAGGAAGCATGAAACCTGTATGTTATCTAGTGTGAGTGAGTATTCACACATCTAGGAAATGGGAAAAGATGGCAGGATGGCAACATCACCTATTGCACATTTAAGAATAGCACTTTAAATCGAAATACAACTCCCCCGACGGCATAGTCTTGTGATGAGGGACAGTTAACTTGCGAGTTCTCGAGTCCTATGGGAACAGTGTGTGCAGAGGCAGCGCCAGGTTAGGACCAGTCTGTTAGCGCCGAGACGGGGAGCCCTCTTCAGCTAGGCTAAGCGGGAAGATGTCACGTGAGCGCCACCCGGGGGTCCCTGTCCCGGCACGTGTAAGTCAGCCACACCAAAACAACAAAGGCAACCCGGAAAGTTAAATTAAGGCAGTGAAAGAAAAATCCATTCCAACAGTCTTAAATTTGGCTGTGCAAAACCAGAGCCTCAGGCTACATGACCACGTCCACAGTTGAAACTGCTCAGTTCGTACTGTGTGTAGTCTGTCTGAAGTTAATATTCCAGGGATGGAGCAGCCTTTTAAGTCCGTTTTGATTTGAGTTGGGAGGGGGAGGGTGCAGTTTGGGAACTGTGAAGCTTTTTCTGGCCCCCTTTAAGAGTAGCTTTCATTTTCATTCCACCTTGTGATCCACTGTTTTTTTTCAAGGTTATCATTATATTTTTCATCTTTGATCTCCCGCTCTTCCTTCCGGATCCTCACAGCATGGTATCGGGGAACGCTATCATCGTACCTAGAGCGTTTAAAGAATCCGCACTGACGAAGGGGAAAGAGAAACAGAAACAAACTAAGTATCTCAAGAAAAGCAAATGCACAAAATGGGAATGTCTAAGCTTTCTGTTCAGCTACGCCTACCTTTGGATGAAGGGGAAAAAATAAACATGGTTTCTTTTAAGAAGGAACTAGTAGGTCCAAAAGACATACCAGCAGTGGGGATAAACAGAAGAGAAGACAGCTGTAACATTGGAAGAAAAGTCCGTTTTTCCATTGTGTCTCTACTAACAAGAGTTATGGAAAAATGCTTCCATTTTTTATAATCACGATATTATATGTTAAAGATCTAATTTTCAGGTTAAAAAGATTGGTCTTTAAAAATGATATTCTAATAAAGGCCATAAACCAAAGATTATTCATACCCCTTTCCCACTAACAAAATGGAATCAGATCACAAATATTTTACAAATTACTATTTAAATATGCCAGTGTTCAAATGGGCCAATTTAAGAATCTTCTCTCCTCCAAGGCTCAGCACATATCTCTCATTAGCTACCAGGCAATTTACACTGCCTGGATTTCCTGTTGTGCTTATAAATTAAGCTGTTTCATTAATAAATCATGTAGTAACTGTGTCCTGTAATAAAAGCAATTGTGTACCACAAAGAACTTGAGGACAGTAGCACTACATTGAATTTCCGAGCACCCCTGATTTTTTTGGCAAAGGAAATTTAACACTTAAATTATTAATGAATATATATTTTATTCATTTTTTAAAAAATAATCTAATCGAAAGTAGATTTTTATTGAGAACATATTAGGAAGTTTTTTACTCAAATTGAATTTTTAAAATGAATAAAATATACATTTAATGAAACAGATGTGTTTTCAATTTAAAAATGCAGATAGAGGGAAGATGAGGAAGACAGTTGGAAGGGTCAATTTGTATCACGTAACAGGAATGGAACATTTAGATGTTATAAAAGTGTCACAGGGCAAAGTAAAATTATATCCAGGCATCACTAAATCAATAGGAAAAACTGACCAAGACATTTTGTTCTAAGGCCATTTCTACACTGGACTCCATAATTATTCTGTGCAAAGAGCCAAAATACCTATCAGTTACAAAATGTGGCTCTTCATTTAGACAAAGGAGGAAATCAAGGGTGGTATGTAAAACTGAAATGGAAATGCTGGGGTTCATCATGACAATGCCATGGAAAGGGATTATGGAGTAATTCTATCCTCTCATGCCCAGAGAAATGGAAAAAGGAATTATCACCAATTCCTGTTTCCATGGATCTACACACAAGAGAAGCAAAATACATGAACTTAAAATCAACCAAGAACCAAAGTTGAATAAAATCTCTAGGAACATGAAACAAGATCAAACTCCATTACAACAACATTGAAATAGTAACTGTCCAGAGCATTTTTATATTAGAATTTTGCATAATGAAGGTCACTTTAGTATAGAACCATCTTCTGAAATTGGCCATCATGTCCACCATGTCAACAACAGTCATAGTTTGTTGTAATGGTCTTTGACCTGTAGTATAGATAAGCAGGAAAAGGAAGTTGCATGCTTAGCTAGCATAAAACAATTTCTGAGCAACAATAAAAGCATTCCAAGCCTTCCCCCATCACTTTATAGCAAGATCAAAAAAGACAGTGAGAAAGCCTTCTCTTCAGGAGAAACACAATGTTTCCAACATGCAACAGGTTAATTAGGCAGTCAACACAAGCTTCTATCTGTGGGAAATTCCAAAATGGACAAGAAACCGGTCACGATTTCTTATTCATCTTTGAAATTCCAAGTGGGATGCTAGGTACTGGATTGACAACACATGGCAAACTGGGCTACTGTGGAGGGCTAATGCCTCCTTTTGTGTGTACATAGATTACAATCTTCTTCATTGCTGTGGGTGATGTTTGACAACAACACAGAATAACTCACCTGCAACAAAAGATTCTTTGTACATTTCTAAAAAATAAAAAAACCCTGAGCTTTCAAGTGAAATAGAATAAATCCAAGCAAGGCAAGCCAGTGTGGACATTTGGAAACATCTGTTAATGGGACACACACAGCAAGCTGTTGCTCTTAAAGTTAGCCACCACAACCATAGCACGTCCCACAGCTAGCAATTAAAAAACATTGATCAATTACCAATTACAGAAGTAGATCAATACTATGCATCAGAAGTAAGCCTCTCTTTATCAGATGGCTGAGCATGGATCTCAGCCTTGTGATATGTGGCATCATAATGATCTTTCTTATTTCTCTTGAAGAAACCACACTATAAGGAAGCAAGGTATTTAGTCAGTTTTACAGTTTTGTATATAAGAGCTAAACAAAAGCAAATCTCAGATGTTAACCTGTTTTCTATTTATAGCTTGTTTATTTACAAAGAGACCATGATGGATCAGCCAAAAGTGGACAGCCACCGCACTATGTTACACGGACAGCGACCAAACCAACTCGATTGTCATGGGTCTCTGGTCAGATACTTAGATGACATTACTCAGCTGATTTTTGTATTTGTAACAGAAATCCTGAGGACAAAAATCATTGTAACGATTATGAATATGAACTCTAAAACAGGCAAAAGACTGACTTTTGCGTTTTACTTAGACAAAGGTTAAGGAAGTTCTCTAAAATTTAGCACAAATCCAAATAAAAAAAGATGCTGCATTTTTCTGCCTTTCACAGTAACTTGTATGGAACAAATGCCATCTACCTGAAGCCTTTGGATTTGTGGGTAAATCACAATATAAATTTGAATTTACCATCATGAAAGAATGATTGCTGTCATTTTCCCAAATTCTGAACCACTATGAAACCCTTAAGTGGTAGGAACCTATGTTCTTCAGGTTAAGTCACTCTAAATGAACACAGAAGTGTAATTCCACTTTCTACTATAATTTCCTTCATTCAATGATGGAGAAATTCTTTGGTCTACTTGTTCATAAGGCTATGGAACTGCCCTTTGAAACATAGCTTGGTCAAATAAACCTGCCCTCCTGGAAAACTGTGCTTCCTAGCCTGGCAACTCATGAAAGTAAAAATCTAGGTCTGTTTTGTATAGCATGCTAACTACTAAGTACATGAGAGTATTCAAATTTAAATGAAAAATCCCTCCGTCGCACCAGCCACATTCCAAGTGCTCAGTAGTCACCTGTGTCTCATGACTACACATTGCATAGTGCAGCTGCAGAACACTTCCATTATCACAGGGCGTTTTATGGGCAGCATGGATCTAAACTGTCTGTCCTGGTGTTTACTTCTGACTCTCTTCATTTAATACAGTGAACACACCCAGCCAACTTTCAGTCACACATGCCAGGCAACAGGGTGGGGAGAAGGAATGAGCCAGGAACCCAAAGTCCTGGTCCTGCCTGCAGTTTGGCAACATTCTTAATATCCACAGGCATGAGCATCCTTGTTGGCACAATTAAAGCGACTGGACCAGCCTCAAGGACTTTTTGTCTTTACCTTCCAACAAAACCCTATGTAATATCCTGGAATTTAAAGCAGATATCAGAACTACTCTGGTTGAAGTGGGGATATTTGCACTAACTCCCCTGCCTCACTTCATCTTGGCACCTATGTGGATGTGCAAAACTCACTTTAAAGGCCACTGAACCAGAGTCCTCTCCGGCCCTCCAGTTCTAGGATTTTAACACAAAAAAATAGTTCACTTTCAGAAAGAAGAGTATCCGTAAAGTAATAAAAATGATCTTCATGGAGGGGACATAGAGGTTGTCTGAGTTGCACTTTTGAGTTCTGGATACTTTAGAGCTACAAACAACCCATGAGATCACACAATCCAATGTACGTACTAAAGAGCTAAAACAAACCAGTGCCCTGGGGAGATGAAATGATTTGCCTAAAATTATATAGCTTGGGTTTCTTAACTCTCAACCCACTGCTATGTCTCACCCTCATTAAAGACTGCCAATAAGACCTGCTCTGAAAAAGACTGTCTTTGTGACCTCCTCCCAAGAGTACACAAAGGCCATCCTCAGATATCAAACCTCAAATTCAGTTTTTGATACCAAAATAGCTTCCAGAGCATCTCCTGTGGCTGGCTGTGCTGACCAGAGAAACCTACTGCCTAAAGTGAACATCAGAGGTAGGATTGGCTAATGTCCAATTCAAGGAGGAGTCTTGGCATGAACAATTACGAAGCTTCAATCACACATTTGGGGGACACCAGAAAGTTATCTCACACTAGGAAAAGGAAGTTACTTGGAAAAATAAAAAAGAAATGTCCAATATTTGAAAGTGACAATATCCTGACTCCTTGTCAATTATACTTGGATCCAAGGGAAGGATATAGATGGTTTGGTCCTGGAGATTGTTGGTAGAGGTTCATAATCATTTGCCCAAAATCCTGTGGACCAGAATTTTTCTGGAAATCCAGAAATTTTGGCATCTTTGAAAAGTAACATGCTGCATACATAATGCCACTGTAATCTAGACATTAGTTTCACAGAACTGCTAAATAAAGGGTATATACTGCCTCTCTTCACATGTCGTCTTGTTCCCAAATATGTTGTTACAAATTTTCAGAGTTTTTTTGCAATTTGTAATTGTCAATAAGGGACTATGAGCCTCCTTTACTCACTTAGAATCGTCCAAAATCTATAGGTCATAATCTTTGGCAATGAAAGTATGCATCCATCCCACACACATATTTTTGTAATGTAGACTATTTACTGGCAGAAATCAAGGGGAAGATACTAAACTTTATTTGTGGGACCAAATTCTCATGAAGAACATCAAATTAAACCCAGATCTTCCTCATGTTTGATAGAGGCTATGAAGACTCCCTTGCAATGGAGTTATTAATTTCATGTTTTTAATGTTTATTTATTTATTTTGAGAGAGAGGGGGAGAGAGAGAATCCCAAGCAGGCTCTGTGCTGTCAGTGCTGAGCCTGACACGGGGCTCGGTCTCACGAACTGTGAGATCATGACCTGAGCTGAAATCTAGTGTCGGATGCTTAACTAACTGAGCCACCCAGGTACCCCAATTTCATGCTTTTCTATTTCTAATCTGGCTGCAACTGTAAGTAAGCCCCGTTTATTCACAGAAGTTGAAATTAACAAGGATACACGTTCAGGTTAATGGGATATCCAACAATTTGGCTTAGATTCCTAATTTAAGATGAAGAAAATGCTGAAGTAGTAAAACTTTTAAATTGTTACTTTCCGAACAGCTAAATTATGTGAAAAAGCACCAAGATTTTTTTTATTTAGGAAGCTCCTCATAATGTACAAATGACATACCTTTAAATCTAAGGTGCTTGGTAGATATACAGGTTTCACTGTAAAATTCTCAAGTTTGCTCTATGTTGGCAAAGCTTTATCATAAAATGTCAGGGAAAGGGAAGCATTACAAAGAAATGTACAGACCATCAGTGTAAATTCACTGTTTTCAAAAAACATAAAAACTCAAATGCCAGCCAGGACTTACCTTCCAGAGTAAAAACACTAAGAGAGCAAGCATCAAAATCCCAGCAAGTATAGCCACTAGGATGATCCACCAGGGTACTCCTGAATATTGAGCTACGGTCTTTGAGGGAAACACAGTCACACGAACCTATGGGGCACAAAAGCAAGCACCACTGTAAGTGGGGTTCATAGTTCTAATTCTGTTCCAGACACATTTTGAATACAGCCTAATTGCGATGCCTTTGATCTAACTGATATGAGATCTTTTCTCAGAACCTGGAAAATGCTGGACTGTGTTTTGACAAAGTTTTTTTTTTTTTTTTGCTAACCCATCTTTTTAAAACCTTTATATTGAGTTAAAGTAGAGAAAATTGTATAATAAATCATTTATTCATCACCAAGTTTCAGCACTCATCAATACACAGCCAATCTTGTTTCATCTGTATAATCTAAGTATCTTTTTGAGAATGATAACCTTCTCTTTTCATTTTCACTAATGGAAATAGAAGGGCCCAAAATGGCTAATATAGGCCATAATTAGCCTATATTCCTCAGATTAAAAAAATGTTTATATATTTATTTTGAGAGAATGAGCAGGGGAGGGACAGAGAGAGATGAAGAGAGAATCCCAAGCAGGCTCCACACCGTCAGCACGGAGCCCGATGTAGGGCTTGAGCTCATGAACTTTGAGATTATGACCTGAGCCAAAATCAAGAGTTGGACACTTAAGTGACTGAGCCATCCAGGCATCCCATTCCTCACTCAGATTTTAAAGATGATGTGAAATATGGAAATAGGGATGGAGCTGCATTGCTGATACATTTTAACTTTTCGTTAGGATGTCCAACTAAGGACCCTAATACACAGTAAGGTTTCCTGCATTGGCCGTGTACGTGTGTTCTACAATAATATATTTGGACAAAGTAAGCCCTGGATTTGTTCTTAGAGGGCTTAGATCTGTAAGCTGCAGCTGGTGAGAAGCCTAAACTCTAACCATTTGATAGCTGGCAAATACCAATGAAACAGAAATAGTGTCTATTCAGAAACCTAAGAAGTTGCTTACAGCAATTTGCAACAACTCGGTTATGTGCGTTTAGGATTCAGGTGGATTTCTGTGAAACCAGGAGACTATTTTTCCAAGCACGTAAAAGACCTGGTGATAGCTACAAACAGGATTTTGTAAATGGATTAGAGAGCTTCCAGTTGGGTTTCTGATATTTCTGAATTACAAGAATGTAAGGTGAAGGGTAAAGAAAAAGTGTGAGTACTTGGCTTCTGACAAGTGTTTTCAGTCAAGTACTCTGTATTAGTACCGAATTCCTGATGCTGCCTAAAAGTGCTTCTATGTCTGTCTACATTGTGCTTCCGTACTTATGTGATTCTCTTTTTAAAAGAAAACCTCTTCACTAAAATACTTCTCTTTCTACTTATAATAGAAAGTAGCTTCTCAGCCTCATTTACAGAATATACTTTAAAGCAAGAGAATTGCTTTTCTTTGAACATTTAGGAGGAAAGAAGTCTGTTTTCAGCCTGTTACACCAACTCTGACACCTCTCCCAGCTACTGTGTTTCCTGTTATGCTCTCAGTGAGGTTTCTCTCAAACTGCCAGACAACTGTGGGGGTGGGGGGGCCCCTTTGTTCAATCCTCCCTACCTTCCATCCCCCTTCGGAAAGGCATCCCAGCTGTAAGCTAAAACCACCCCTGATTACTGGGTCTAACACAGGCGTATCCATTTAGTGGGAAGAAAGAATGGTGAGAGACCAGTGATGAAATAGCGTACTCGATGTGACTGGTAAGCCTACCTACTCTAAACCAAAACAAACAAAAAAAATTAGCTTATGCTGGTCTCATTTACTTGGGGGCCAGATGACAACCTGGAAGGACCATCCTCATTTTTAAGAATAAGTTCTGATAAATCTGGAAGTGGAGAGTGGAGACTGGTCCGTGGCAGGGGACCAAGCCCCACAATCGCACTGTGTATCAGAGTACCTTTTAAATGGCTGATAATAGGGGAAACCACTCCTATAAATGGCAGCAATCCAACAGTATAAGAGCTGAACAAGGTAATTTTTGATTTGGTGGGGGTGGAGTGTACATCCTGCTGAGGGGTCTAGCCCCGAGTCTGACTACCATTCAAACCAGATTTTGGAGCCTTTCAGAAACTGTGAAACAACTCAGCGTCAAAGACTGAAGACTGAAGCCAGGGGCAGGGCTACACTTGTAAAGGGCAGATGTGCTCTGCAAACCCAGGCTGTGTGTAAGGCCACACTGCAGTCCAGGAAGGTGAGAGAGGCGAGTCAGCAAGACTTTGTTTTTTCCATAAACTTTCACCTAAATTTTGTTTTGTTTTTAAGACAGCCATTCTCCAGCTGGGACTGGGAATCAAGGGGGAGCTGACCTCAGAACTGGGGAAGGGGAGACCAGACGTGAGCTGCAGAGCTCTGGAAAGCCTGGTCAGATCTTGCCACAGCAGCTATTATTGATGGACAGTGACAGGTTAAGGGGAGTAGAAATTACTCCAACTCCAGAAACATTTGGGGGGGGGGGGG